CATTTCATTTCATTTCATTTCATTTCATTTCATTTCATTTCATTGCAAATTCATGGTGGAAGTTTTTCTTGTTAGTTTTACCGTCAACAAAATAATCAAATATTAAAACTGTGTACTGTCTTCAAGCTACAGTGTTCCTTCATCCTTCTGGCTCACAGGAAAAAGCAGTTTTTTCTTTCCTTCTCGTTGTTGGTTCAGTGTTTCTCAGAGCAGGCTGTAATCACGGTGAACATTTTGGAAGCAACACTGTAAATTATGATTGACAAGCTAATAGCTCTTCGCTAACACCAAAGGATTTTTATTTTTTTTTACCCGAGTCTGAGAAAGCAGAGTGCTCATGTTTCCGGAAAGAAACATGAGCACTCGAAACAAAAGCTCCGCTCTTTCCAGTATCACCCTGTTCAGTCATAGATTTATTTTCACATTTTCTATAACCGTTTATTGTGCTAATCATTTAATTATCATCAAGAGCTCCTCAACAAGCAACACAAAGCAAATCCTATTCTCATAGGTCCACACAAGGGAATTAAATCAACTCTCTGAAAGACAACAAGGAAAGGCACTCAGTGTGATTATGCCGATAACACAGACCGCAGAGGATTATACACATAACTCCCTTACTATCAGCCAAGCCCAGTTTGACGACAAGAATTTAATGACTTCTGATTCTGCTGCTCTTTTATAGCCTCTAAATTACTTTTAAATTACTCTTTGGTTAATTGTGGCAATAATTGTTGGTGTTTTGCTTGTGTATTTGTTTGTAGTTCATATGTGAAGCTGTTGCCTCCAAGCGATTGAGTTGCAATGGACTGAAATAATTAGCAGGGGGTTGTTTAACCAGGAACAATAATATTAATGTATAAAATGGAAATACAGTCTGCTGGCACAGCACATCAGCTTTAATGAAAACATCTGAAAATGCCTTTTCTTTCTTTCTTTCTGTTTCTGTGTCAAAGAGCATCGGAGGGTTTTCTCACCGTCAGCTCCAGCAGCTCGTTGAGGAGTCCGTTGTGCTTGCTCTGGAGGAAGGCGTTGGCGCTGCCAGACTTGGCTATTCTTATCCTGGCCAGTCTGGCTTTCTGGAAGTGGGAAGAGAAGGAGGTCAGATTGTCAGATAAGGTGGACGGGAGGTCGTGGAAGATGACTAAGGCTTTATTTAATGAAAAGAGTCTGCCAACTATTCACCAAAACTGCATAGTAATTTTCGCAGCTGTCCAAGAAGTGCTGCTTGCTTTTTGTTGGGGTTTTTCTTCTTTTAATGTGATGAAAGCCGTCTCTGTGTCTGGAGGGGAATGCTCACTAACATCCTTCAAAAAGTATGTGGTATCAAACATAATTCATCCATATGGGATTGCTGAACATTTAGTTTTGGGTCCATGGACATTTTTATGTTGCTGTAACAGCATCCTTTTGCTACTTTTCACTTTTCTACAGACACAGAGACCTTGCAGCAGGGATTAACTTCCATTAAAACCACAAGAGTAAGAGTGATGTTGGGTCCTGAGGCCTGGCTTATCCAAAATGAGTTTTAGAGAATGTCTTTGTGCAAAGCAAAAGAGAGAAAAAGAAAGTTCCCTCACATGGCAAACTCTAAATAATTTTTGAATGGGATGTATTCTGGGATTTCACTAAGTTATAGCAATGTGTTGCCACTGAAAATCGTCTTAAACGTCTGAAACGGAAAACGTCAGTGAGTGAGGTCAGCTTATAAAACCACAGACTTAAACTGAAAGAGAAACATTCATGTTCCTAAAGTAATATATTATATTTTCATCCAATTAATATTCTGTAACGTCTAACAACTAACAACTTCTAACAACAATTTCATGGGAAGAAATACATTTTCACGGCACTGTGAATGTATTTTACTACTTTCGTTTCTGTCCTCTTATTGAAAATGTTTGAAGAAAATCCTAACATTAAAAGTTTGTCATTTTGAGTCTGTCGTATCTATGGATTTACCAGAAGATAAACGTGTTTCAAAGTGCCGATGTGACAACAGAACAAAGCAAAGGAGACAGACAAGAAAGAAAATATCTCTTGTTCCATAGACTTAGACGATCGATTCTTACTTTCTGCTATTATTTTCTTATTTTATTGATAATATTGTGTTTTGATGGCAATATATCATGCGCCAATTCAATGCCAAGTCTTAATATGCATCATATACATGTGGATTGTTTTCATGAAAATTTGGACCAGGATTATTACCAGGAAACAGTGGATCAACGTTTTACACTGGTTAGACTTTATACTGTTTGTTTCAGTGATACATACATCAGCCAAGAACAACTTCAAGTGGTTTTCTCAAAATGAAGAGACATTTCTCCACTGCAAGAAACTAAAAGTGATTATTAATCACAAGATGATAAAACTTTGAGATATTTGCCTGGGAAAATGTAACAGATGAACATGTTTTAAAGATCAGTGGGGCCTGTCTTCAATTAAGTTTGATCAACAGTACTGGCATAGTTAGGCTAGTTAATCCACGCTTGGAAGAGCTTTCTGTGGCTACATATGCAGATGGACTATGATAGCACAAGAAGTATCACTTGTAAATGACATAATACATTTAAAATCCTATTAAAGATTCATCCATGTTATTCGAGTGTAAAAATGAGAGAAAACAAAAACCACACAAAAGCATGTAGAGTAGGAACATTCATTGTTAGTTTTTGGAGCTCAGCAGTACATTGATGCGAAACAGAAACTGTTTTGCATCAATGTACTGCTCTTCTATGTACTGCTCTTCTCCACAACCAGAAGAGCAGTACATAATTTGTTGTTGATTATGTATATGCACCAAAGCTTGAAAAGCTTCTGTTGGTGATGAGCCATGGCACACATTTTGCAGCAATTTATGATCAAGTCATGCAATTTTTGAAAATTTGCAAACTAAGTGCTGCTAAAAATTCCTCATCAAACCCCCGGTTCCGCTCAGTTTGACATTAGGAAAGCTGGAGCTCCATCTGTGCTGCATCAGGTAGCAAGTCAGAGTGGAGATTGGAACTCGACTTGATTTGATTCTTTTTTATTTTTTGCACTTTTGGAGCAATTTACAATTTATCTGAATTGCTTTGTGAAGCTAACAAGAAACCACAAAGCTTTAGGGAATTAAAAAAAATCTTGTTTGTTTCACAACTATTCTAGGTTATCTGTTTTTTCAGATGCTAGCAGACTATTTATCTTAAGGAGGAAATCACAAGAAAAAGACACTTCTACACACTTGGTGTGGAGCTTAAAATATTTAATTATCCCACTCCATCTGCTGATGAGGACGTCACAAATTGATTTTATTTTTCTCCACATTCAAACATATTACTTTAATTCTTAAGGGGAGAAAAATCTGCATTTAACTTTTTGCATAGATCTTCCTGGTTCTGAGGGAAGAAGATAAACCTGTTTTAAAGTGCTGGTGTGATAACAGAACAAAGCAAAGGAGACAGACAGGAAATGAGAGGAATAGCGTGGGCCATTTTTTAAAATGAAGAGGATATTAGGGTGACTTCCTCCCCAGCTCGTGGACGCGTGAGTTGAGTGATTTCTTTAACCTTGTCCTGCTTGCCCCTTCGTTCCACTATAAACGTATTTCGAAAGTGGGAGACAGACGGAGCAATTTCTTCTTCCAAGACGTGAATCAAAAGTAATGAAATAAGTTTGGATGCCTCAGAAGTTGCCAGTCAAACTCTGGATTCTGTGAAGATGTGTGGAAAGCTTCAACCTGAGATGTAATGATAGTGTGATTCTGCGTGCGTGACATGTGAAAATAACGGAATGAAGCAAGATGAATCATTCTTTCTTTGTTCATGTAGCTAAAAGCGTATGATGTTGAAAGTGAAAACTGTTTTTTTGCACACTGTTTTTTTTTCTTGATCAAAAGCATCGCCTGAAACAAAAAAAGAGAAATATTATGAAATAAATATTAACTCTGACGGGTAAGTGTGAGATGTTTGGATTTGATTGTACTGATGTTTTTCTGAGCGCCCACTGAACCAGCGATTTCAGAAGAAAAACCTTCCTAATAAACATCTGAAGTAAGTTCAAAGGCAGGCTGAAGTATTGAGGGATGAATGTGTCATATAAAGTCCCTGAATGGGTATTACAGAAGCATCAATGTAATCCACTGTCCACTATGCATGATTTATTTTCCAGTTGAGAAATTAACATCTATTTTTTATAAACCCAACAGCCAGATTTTCTCAAAATCTCAATGAGTAAGAGTCTTTAAATTCCCAAAAGACAAAATAAACCATTTGGTTTGTAAAATAGGGAAACCAAAACAAAACAAAAATCTTACATTTTTAACGTTTATATAACATTTTAGCTAAGGTAAAAATGATTCCTAATCTAAAATGTTAGTCAGCCCTAAGCACTTTGGGAACTGACAAAAGAAATACTTCAAGAAAAATGTTACTTTTATTTATCCATGTAAGTATTTCAACCACAGAAAGATAATACTCAAATAAAGCTGTGGCTTATCACAGTAAATAATCATTGTGTCTTGCTGATCTTAATGAAAGTATGTACATCCAGCTTTAATAACACACAGGATGGTTTATTATACGTTGTATGTAATATTGTTTATCAAATTAGATTCTATTTATTCTGGCAACAATTAATTTTTAATTACTTTCTGTAGATTTGTCACTTATCTACATAAGCTGCTCTGGGTTCATTTTTTTTAAGTAGCTCTCATTTAATTGACGTTGTTTATTGATCACAATTCATCATCATTTCGTCTGACCTCTAATGAAATAGAAAGGCAGCCTCTCTCACCAGACACCCATACGAGCATTATTTAAATATATGCTTTCCACAAGTTGCTTTTCAGTCTCTGAGTATAAATGCCACATGATTGATTACGAAGACATTCATGGCTGAAAAGGTTATCTTACATAAATCAGTATACGGTCTGTTAAAGGTAAGATTCTGGAGATCGATTTAGGTGATTATGCTTGATTTGGTTGACCGAACAGAAAAAGCCTGAACTTTCAGCTACATTATCACCAATCGCAGACCTGAAGTCGAGCATCTTGGCTGCTGACTTTGGAAATGCTGACCTCTTACTTAGAACTACTCTATTCCCTCTTCTCTTAAGCCAGTGTTATGGCTCTCCGTCATTCTTTGTGTGATTTCTTTGTCCTCTCTCTGTCCCATTTTCCCCTCTTTTTCAACTTCCTTCCTCTTCCTCTCCTTATCCTGTAGTCTTCTTGGTTTGCCCTCACGTTTTCCGTCTTTTTATTATTATTTTTTCTTTCCTGCTCAGCAACCTGCCAGGTTGCAGTGTAGCTCCTCTTGACTTTGCTGTCCCATTAGGAGCGTGACCTCAATCCATTTACTGCTTCGACACTCACCATCACTCTGATGGTGAGTGCTGCACGACTGATTTATGCATGAATAAAAGAAGCTTTTCTGCAAGCTCTTTTATACTTATTGGTAAATTAGGACCAAATATCAGGGTTTGTTTTCATGGGCAGTTAGGTCCTCAGCAGGTTACTAAATATGAAGAAAGGATAATATGCTGTGCACTAAGCCACACACTGTCACAGTTAGCGGACAATCACTGTCATTAAGCTCAATTTGAAATTTTCTGAAAGACAACAATTACTATGTGAAAAGAGCTTTTTGTGAAGTAAAATTTCTAGATGAATTCGTAATTGTAAAAGGTGCCTGAAGCAGAGAGTTGTCATAAAAGAATGAAGACAAACAGGAGGATGGAGAGGCCAGGAGAGCTTCAGTAAAGGAGGACAGAAAGAAAGACGGACAGAGTTAGATCCCCCATCTCCCTCTTTTCTGTCCTCAGTCTGTTTCTTTAAATCGTGACGCAGACAAAATATAGGTGACATGTCAGGGGAATGTTTGCTCATGTGTGAATAAAAACAGCTTACAAAAACCCAGTAATTTGTTAGTGACCTGTTAACATTTTGAAGTTGTGAGCTTTCACCAGATAAGTATACGGTCACAACAGAAAATACAGAGCACTCCAGATGAGTGAGTCATGCTTCATATTTTTCTCAGAATCTGAAAGTGCTCTACTGGGAAAATAAAGTAAAACCAAACAAACACACACACAAAAAAAGGCAAGCAAACAGACAAATAAATAAAAGAGGCGATACTACATTGTTTAATGTGTTAAGTCAGATCAGGAGTTGCAGACTCCTGATTTAGCAGCTGAAAACTGTGATCACAACTGAACTGAAGCTCAAAGTGCAACTACTTAATTCATTGCCAAAAACACTGTTAAATTCAATTTGTCCAAGGGACCAATTATTTACACTTTCTCTGCTGGAACACATATTCATAGGAAATTGATTTAGTGTTACATCTTCAGTTCAGGGGCCATCACCAGTTGTTACAGGGACACTGGCCCCTGTCTAGAACGGCCCATGCTGGTCCTCCTCCATCAATCTCAGCCCCCTGGCCTTCACCAGCAGCATGAGGGAATACATTGGGGATCTGTACTGAACACTGCTCACTGCTGGGGTGATATATTGTACAATAATTTAACCTGCCTTGACTTACCCGTACTATAGAGGAGTGCACTACCTTGCTCTTATTTTGCTTGTCAATAAACATTGTTTATAGTTATCACAGAAAACAAATATGAGATATTTGTGTTCACGAACTTGAAAAAGTATTAACATTTGTGTGTTTTCTTATTTCTTCCCTTCATCTTCACTTCCAGTCAGATAAATTATACTTTGAGTCGACCCTTATTTATTTACCCATGTATTTATTTATTTATTTATTTATTTTTTATTTAAAACTAGTTGAAAAACAAGTAACCTGCAGGATAAGAGTAAACGTGCATTCTTAACTTAGAACAAAATAATAATCCTATTGCTACTTTTCTGTTTGAAAAAGAGCAGGATGAAGTGAACACTTATTTATTCCAATCTCCTCCCTCAATTAATGGAATGTATCGCTTACAGACTCTGTAATTATCGGAAATATATAATTAAAAACACGTTGTGGTATTCATATACCATTTCAATTTCTATGCTAAAGGACAACCAATAAATTACCGTGTTGGGAGCCACAGGCTCAGTTCACCTTCACATTATTGAGATGTAAGGGAGGTCAGTGCATTATGTTTGAAGAGGTTCAAATCAGAACATTCATTAATGTGGACTCAAATCAGACATTCCTCTTGTCAATTAGCTATCAGTGGCTGCTCCCCAACTTAATAGCGCTCTTATCTAGCCTTGTGGAAAGGTCAAGCCTGCAGGGGAACTGTGGTGAGTGGCTGAGTAATATTTAGCACTTTGAACTAAAGTGTGCATCTGTCTATGTGTCTGAAAGAAAATAATTGTGCATCTGTACGGCTTTTAAATTAGTTTCCATGTGACAAGAAACAAACAAATTTGCAGTCATTGGACTATACCGAATTATTCTGAAGGTCTGACGTTTGTGATTAGTTTTTAAACACACAATGTTTATATATATATATATATATAAATAATCTCAATCTTCCATTTAATCTTATGAGCTCAATAGATATTTCATCCCGATCCTTTTTTTTTTTTTCTAAAATTCACAACCTGCCTTCCCTTTAAATTAGGTAACATGGCTGCATACACTTTTTAGAGACGGCAAGCTTCACCTTCTGAGCTCGACGTTTGTCTGCCCGCTGGTTCTGGTGGTAGATGCGGCTAAAGTTGGACACGATGACAGGGACGGGAAGAGCAATCACCAGCACGCCGCTCAGGGAGCAGATGGAGCCAAAGATCTTTCCAGCAATTGTCTTCGGGACCATGTCTCCGTAGCTAAAGGGAAATGAGAAGAATTCAATTTAAAGCGCATACAAAGATGTGAAGGAAGTGTTTTTCCCTCATAGATTTCTTTTGTTTCTGTTTTCCTGTTAACCAATATGTTTTATTGTTGCACAAAGATAAATTGAGTAAATATCACATATAGATTTAATTGATTAAAAGAAAAAAATCCTTCCAAACAAAGTTGGACAAAGGTGAAAAAGCAATTGCCCCTAACAAATAGCTGGTTTTGCCGCCCTTGGCAGCAACAATTGCCATCAAGCATTTGCAATGATTAACATAAGTATTTTACAATGAAATGTTTGGCCGGCTCTGTTTTACAGAAATCTTTTAAAGCAGCCACATGGAGAGTTTTTGCTCATGATCAGCCTGCTTATGGTAACATTACAGCACTTCAATTGGATTTAAGTCTGGAATTTGACTAGACCACTCCAAAACCTTTTTGTTGCTGATCATTCTTCTGCTGCTCAATTCTATGCTACTGTATGTTCTTATACTGAAATGCTATGCTAGTTTTATACCAGATGAAATTAGACACACACTTTCCAAAAGATTATGCTTTAGTCTCCTCAAAAATAAAAGAAAAATTTCCCTAAATCTTTGTATGCAAATGAAAAACGGGCCTTTGTGTTCCTTTTGGTCAGGGTTTATTTCACCAAGAAACTCTCATTTCTTTCTTATTGTTGAACACTCAGAAGGAGGCCAGGCCCTGAGCTTAACTAAGGTAAGTGAGGCCTGCAGTGCAGTAGATGTTACTCTGGGTTATTTGGTGACCTCAAGTGTGAGTCATGGATGAACTGGAGTAATTCTGGTAGACCCACCACTCCTGGAGGGTTCAACTGTGTTCCATGTTTTCTCCACTTGTGGATAATGGCTCTTGCTGTTCTTTGCAGGAGTCTCAAAGCCTAAAAAATGAGTTTGTAACCCTTTCCAATCTGAATTTGAGTACTTTTTTTTATGTTTTTGAATTTGTTTAGTTCAGGTCATAATAGGTTTGCTTCTTGAATTGTTTTAATCTATTTTGTGTTGTTTGACAGGTTTAATATAAGTTTTTTTTTTCTTTTTCTACCTAGGGCTAGTTTGGATGTTTGTCTGGATGTTTTTCTTAAGTGTGACATAAAAAGCAAAGACAAAAAAAACATGGAATATGTTTTCACAATCCTATAGATTCATGGCTTCATACAAATTTTGTGTCTTTCCATCCCTCCTCACAGACAGACGTGGTTATAGTTTACTGTGTCTTTTTTTCTCTGAACACATCTCTGATGGAGAATCAGAAAACTCTTTGTGTCTAAGCAGATATAAAAAGCAGTATTACAGTGCAGGGGTAACACATCCTCACATTATGGGCTCTGTCTCTGCTAATGCAGATAACAGAAATTCATGCTGTTCCTCCTCATCAGAGGTACAAGAAAGGAACAACGAAAGCAGCAGTGACAGAAAATGCAGTGACAGAAAATGCAACCTCAATCCATCAATTTCTAATCCAGACAGGCAGCCATGTTGAAGATTAATTGCATAATACCTGATAATGCCATCACAGAAACAAACACTTGTGGGCTTGGAATCTTATCACATCTTTTTAATATAACAATAACTTTATCAACATTTTTATCTTTCAGTTAAAATCTAAGTTTACTGTTTTCTTGTTGCCAAATTTGCATGAAACATGCCACCACACAATTACGCTGCGGACACAATTTCCCGCTCCACATTTTCATTTCAGACTACAAAGGCTGAATTATCCCAGCACCTAATGGAGTGGGGTTTTCTGAGAACAAATTCTAATTTGAATCATAAGTTATGAGACTGCACTCATGGGCAGGAATGCAAAACAGTTTCCGAGTTTGAGACAGTTTCGATTTTGAAGATCTATCCCCGGTACTTTTCTGAGCTGTTTGTCATAACAAAACCCTACAGACCATTGACATATATAACACTTTCACAGATCACATATATGTATAAACAGAAATGTTTCTCTTTTTTAATCTATATATGTAATTTGACTGACAAACAAAATCCTCAGGCTTATGATAGATCATAAATGTATAGCTTGTTGTCCCCATGAGGAAAATTTGTCATGGACATCATGCGCTAAACAAAACTTCTACCACAACTAAATACACTACAAAGAAAAAAAAAAGACATGTTGAACCATAGTATGGTAAAATATATGTATTATTTTGCATAGGTTTTTGCCCTTTTCAGACAAATACTCCTGACAAGTTAGTCAAGACAGAACTAGAAAACAACAGTAAGTTCTGCTCCTCCACAGAAAGCATAGTCACCTTGATGACAATCATCTGGTTCTGTGTTTGGATGACAGATTGATGCTTGTGAGCAGAAATGAGTGGAAATGCTGCTCCGTGTTCTATTCGCTCGAAGTCAGTACTCCATTTAAAGCTGCAATTGAGCTCTGAAAGACATTTTGCAGATGTAACATTACTGAGTCATACAGTTTGCACGGTTTGCACCAACATATGCATGTTTTTTTTGTTTTTTTTTAAGAGGAGGTTATTAAGCTCAAGTAATATGGTCACAGTCTGGCTCCCTCCTGGAAATAAGAAACAAACACACAATGCAAACAAAACAAGAGCACAACACAGTTGTATTTCATTCAATATCACAGATTTTCAAGCATTTTGTTTAGATAACCTGATATATTGTTTTAATTCTTCAAAATGAAAATGCTTTAACTACATTATGAGTTATAATCTCCATGGAATCTGAGGAAAGATCTATATCTTCATTAGTTTAGCACAAGAGTTTCAATTTCACACTTCCATATTAATTCAGTCAGGGTGAAAACTTCAGCAACACTCAAAATATGAGGAAACAATCTTATTGCCACAAGCTGAAACAACTAAAGCTGGTTTTCACATGGAGTGGTTCCTAGCACTTTGAGTGATGCTGGAGTTTTAACCTTTGACCCTCTCCTTGCACCTTCCATCCATGAAGTCTCTAACTTCGTCAGGGATGTTAGAACCGCTACAATTTCCTATTAACATTTTTTTCTCCCTGTTTTGTCAGTTCAAATTTTGGGAGAGTTAAAAAATAAAATCCTACAGTTTATCTCTCCAGAAAATAATCCATACTTTATATTACTAAATAAATATGTTTCAGTTAACAATGAAGCAACTTTGCTCCAAAATATCTCCCATTCACATGTCTGTAGCCAACCATATTGAATTAAAATTGTGAGAACAACACATTAGTAACTGCTAACTTTGGCAAAAACCTTAAAAGCATTAGCTCAAATTAATGAGGTAAAAGTGGTAGTCCTGCAGTTTAAATCACAGTGCTATATTTAACGAGAAATACTTTAGAAACTTGCAGCATAAAATAGGATTGCATTCCATGTGGTCTAACGAACAAATGTGTTCAAAGTGATAAAAATGTAATTATTTAGTCGTAAGCTTGAATGTCTTTGTGTTTGGACGTATTCGCTGCTCCGGGATGTGAGTTCTGCCTTATGTCAGCTTCATAGAAGCCAATGGGAGACTCTGAACTCTGCCATTGCCCTAAATGGAACATAACAATATTATGTCTTTATTTTATTCAGTTTATCCTTCAATTGAAGAATTAAAAAATACGTTCTGAAACTACATGCTACTAAATGTCTGACATTAAATGCATGAAATCGACAACAATTACTTACGGGATAAAAGGACAAAGACAAACCATCACTCAATGTATTACCCGGGTAGTAGTGCTGGATTGCAATATGATAAATCTTTCAAATGCATACACTAAAAAAATGTGAGCATGCCATAAGGACTACCATAATCAAACACATCGATTTATGTCTTTGTTTTAAATAGCTTACAGGGTTTTCACTGAAAATTTAAAAAAAAGTTGTTTCAGAGGCAGTGACTGCAAAATGGGTAAGCGACAACATATACACTGATTTTTGTGAAGCGTAAAATGTAAAACTAGATGTAATACATCACAACTGAAAATGTTGTTTTGTTTAAAGTGGGCAAACCGCAGCTGAGCAGGGGAAAGATGTAAGAACTGTGCAGCATGTCTGCACACGGGAATGAATATAAAGCAGATAGTTGAAAAATACAATGCATGCTCTGTGTGTTTTTTGTAGGGCAAAATAAAGGTTAACAAATATTCACACTTACAGTTTTCAGCTTTTTCAGAGCTGGTTGTCTCTCTCATACATCATCCTCTCAACAACATTGAACCTTAATCTAACTTGTTTTATTCATCCTTTTTTAAAATAAACTCTCAGTAGTTTAGACCACTTTCAGCAGCCCTCAGCGGCAGGTTAGTTTGCCCTTCGTGTTAGCTGTCCCCTGCTGATGTAGCCCGGCCTCTAATTTAAACAGGAGCTCACACAGGTTATGATGGATGGTGCTTTCTTTGCAGTGGCAGCAGGTCACACAAACTCATATCAGACATTTCTCATATGCCTTTCAGTGTAATAACAGACATCAGATTGTTTCTTGCTGTTTCTTTTCTGTTTAATCCCATTTCACCCCTGTTTTCCTTCATTCCCCCTCTGGTTTTTGTCGTTATCACCCCATCCCCTGCTTCCTCTCCTTAGAATAAACAAAGGTCAGACAGTGTGTCTGAAGATCAGCTCTACAACTTCTGCACACCTGCAGTCCCCCAGGACAAGACGGTCAACCAAGTGCTCTTTTTCACTTTCTAGTAATTTAGAGGAGCAGATTAGTTTAAGGTTCAGGGATGAGAGTTAAAAAGGAGGTCAGAAAATGACAAAACTGAGGGTGTAACAAATAACAACTTTGACACAGGTTAGGCATTTGTCTGCAATGCTGCTCTTCTTACAGTTTTCTTCTTCTTCTTATATTTAAACATTCAGTTTAAATATAAGAATGAACACATACACAGTGGATAACAAACCCAATCCTAGTAAACACTTTGGATTTGTTCCAAAACAAATAGTTACCATCGGTCAGCAAGCCTTTTAGTGTTTTCAGTGAGCTGGCTTGTTTTGTTTGACCAAATGTTCAAGTACCTTT